CAGCCTGGCTTGTGGCGGAGCAGAGCTCCCCCTGTGGGAGTGTACTGACCTCCAGGGGGCAGCTCCTGCATTGAGCATCTGCCACCTGGTGGTCAGTGTGTATCATAGTGACCAGTCTTTCCCAGTCGTTCTGCTGTTAGGGTCAGTTTGCATATTACCCTTTTATTATATAGGATAGAGGCCTGGTGTATGTGTAGGGGCTGGCTGATTTGCCCTGAAGGGTGACCCGGATCAAGGTGGGGGTCCCACTGGGGTGCCTGGTCAGCCTGGGTGAGGGGCTGATGGGTGTTTGCAGGCTGGTCACACCCCCTTCAGGGTGGAAGTCCCCACTGGGGTGCCTGGCCAGCCTGGGTGAGGGGCTGATGGCTGTTTGCAGACTGGTTAAGCCCCCACCTCCTCAGTGTGGACCTTCACCCCATGGAGGTTTGGCTAGCCTGGGTGAGGGGCTGATGGCTGTTTTTAGGCTGGCCACACCCCATTTAGGGTGGGGAGTCCCACTGGGGTGCCTGACCAGTCTGGGTGAGGGGCTGAGGGCTGTTTCAGGCTGGCCAAGACCCACGGTGACGGAAGCTCCCAGCCCCTCCTTCTTTTCTTTTTTAATTCTGGGATTTATTTACCTTCTATAATTGAAACTTTGTGCTTTGAGTGGAGCTCAGAGCCCATCGTGGCAAGCAGGAAGCTTGGCTTCCTCCATCATTGGGGCAACCAAGCCTCCTGCTTGCTCCAGTTCCGTGGCTGCTGGCCGCCATCTTGTGTGGTTAATTTGCATATAGTCGCTCTGACTGGCTGGTGGATGTGGCTTAAGGCATAGCGAAGGTACAGGCAACTTGCATGTTTGTCTTTTATTAGTGTAGATTGATGCTGTGTCTCTCACAACAATAAAGGCAGATGAGCACTTATAACATACCTGTGCTCTGGGCCTCAAATGAGAGTCAGACTGCCCCTTTTCAATAACAGTGGCTGTCAGTAACATAGAGTAGGACAAGATGTTGCACATAAAGGGAGTGTGAGTGACTTGACACTGGTCTTGTCACGCAATAGTCTTGTCAGGCAATACCCATGTTGTCCTCCAAATTGTCCCTCAAAGACACCAAAATAGTAATGCACATTACACTTCCGACTCCAATCCCAGTTTGCTGAGGCCATCACTTTGCATTACCTGCTGCCCATAGTTCTTTGATCCACACTTGTCTCACAGCTTCATTCCCAGACGCACATCTTTACTAATGACATCAATAAGCCATCACAAGGACAGGTTATTTTCTAACTAGCTTATTTTCTAAAATTCTAGTTCGCCACCTCTGTAAAATATTTTCCTCAACCTTCTCTGTTCTCCCTTCCCCATGCTGGTGGAGATTTTCAAGTGCAGGTGACACTGATGTATGCTATCTCATTCCTATTGTTCACTGGGTCAGCCCTCAACTAGAAATGACAGGTGGGCACATATATGTCACCTAAGTTCTGGACCTCGCATGTAGCACCACAACAACCCATCTTGTTAGGAATTATCCTAAAATTTCCCATATCATATCATGAAGACACCATCAGAAATGGACTCCCTTTTCATTCACTCATCTCTCAATGTTAGTGCCCAGCTGCTCTGGTTTTAGTCCCAGGACCACACTGATGTCATCATGCCCTGTGGGTGACTATGCAGCTCGGCCCGGATTACCCACCTGCTACACTGACATAAAGGGCACCTCCCATACTGTTCTTTGGATCATCCATTGCATGCTCTGCCCTCAAGAGAACCATGGCTGCTAGTCACCACAGGTCCCTGGGCTGTGCTGGTGTTCACATGTGTGTGGACTGACTAGTTGATTAAAACACATATATTGATCTGAGAGAGAGAAATAGGGAGATATATATATATATATATATTAGTTATGCAAATAATAACAATAATAAGAATAAAACCTTGAGAGGATTTTCTTAGAAAGTTTTCAATATTCAGTATTTTTGGAAGTGTCAATGAAGTACTGATGGGGTGGACTTAATAATCTGGCCACTCAGTATATATACATATACATACATACATATATATATATATATAGAGAGAGAGAGAGAGAGAGAGAGAGAATTTTTTTCCATTAATTTTATATATTCTTTGATTAACTCTTGTAATTGATCTCACCAGGGGTGGAATTTGCAACATTCCATTATTGAAATTGTTCTCTGACCCACTTAGCTGTTTGACCTCGGTCAGACATATGTGACATTTTAAGTAAAACAACCCAATAATGTACCTGAGAATAGATAGATACAAAACCCATCATGCTGACAGATAGTGGTGGAAAGCTAGAATAGGATTCATGGGATTTCATAAGTGTCTTTTTTACAAGAAAATATTTAAAGTGAGCTATTTCAATGTCAGACTTTATGACTGCATCAACTATTTCATAGGCCGAGAATGAAGCACTGATAAGGGCAGGAGGAACTTAGTATCAACGATGCAGGCATGCAGGGAAAACCAAATGGATATATATTTTTTTAATGTCCATTTTAAATCAATTCTACTTAAATCAGTTTTTAAACAAGTTTAAACTTGATGTTTCCCAGTAATTTTACTGTTTTATTATGAAAATTTTTGAACATAATTGGTGCTACTGTATCAGCATATTGGAAATAAAAAATATAATGATATACTACTGAAATATCTTATCATGTCCATGTTCAGAGCCATCATTTTGGCCGTTTGAACCTCAAAATGATGAGAGTATTTACACAAGGGATAGTAATAAAGATTACAATCCTAGACTTCACTTGAATTTTGAATGCTTAGACTTAAATAAGAATGGTGGAGAATGTTACCAATACAGGTTAAACCTGTGAGAGTATGATATAAGTGGGCTTAAATTATACCTAGGAAAAATATGGGGGAAAATTTTCCATTCCAATATTCAAAACCTACGGTTCCATATACATAGCAAAAAAGTTACTTGAGTCACTGAGGTATGAGTGAACTTCGAATATTTCTTAAATTGTGCACTGTCCTCCTTTTGGTTAAATAATAAATTCACACACACACATATTAGAGGCCTGGTGCATGAAATTCTAGCACTAGGGAGAGGGTGGTCCCTCAGCTTGGCCTGAGCCCTCTCACAGTCTGGGAGCCCTTGGGAGATGTCCGACTGACAGCTTAGGCCGGCTCCCCAAGGGGAGCCACGGAGGTGGGTGAGGCTTCCGCCACCTCCAGTGCACTTGCCAGCTGTGAGCCCAGCTTCTGGCTGAGCGGCGCTCTCCTGTGGCAGCGCACTGACAACCAGGGTGCAGCTCCTGCATTGAGTGTCTGTACCCTAGTTGTCAGTGCACATCATAGTGACCAGTTGTTCTGCTGTTCGGTCTCTTTGCGTATTAGCCTTTATATATATATA